CAGATTACTCTGGGCGGTTGTGTGCTCTCCTTTCTTTAAATTGTTATTGATTCCAATGAGGCCATTCACATCTCCGCGCTGTGTTGTAAAAAATTAGGCATGTCCAATATTATATGCATTTACCTAATTTTCTGGCCAATTGGCCAAGTCTGTGTGAGCACATAAAAACACATGAAAATGCATGTTAAAGACCATTGTAAAGCTCTTAATGCAGACAGTGTAAGTATGGGGCCACTCACCTGCACTCAGATGTCAGATTAGGAGGAATGGCTGTGTCCCCATAGACTTACATGAGCTGCCTGCATGCAACATCTGGTGGCTCAAGCTGCATAAATGGTCCAATCACAGTCTATGGGCTTCAGCATATGTGTGAATGAAGCTTTACAGAAGGGGAACAAGAAAGTTCACACTAAGCTAAATGGGTGGTTTCTGGTAACCCAGTGATGCTACTAAAATGCAATATTCACCATAGTGCCCCAGTTATAAAGCAGTTGCATGATCTTACTGCAACCACACTGCTGCTTTAGGTTTTAAAAAAAAGAAAATATTTTTAAAAAGCATAGGGATGCAACATGATGCAAGCAAGCTGTGTAATTATAAAGTGTAGCTGTTAAATTATTTTATATGACCTATTACAGGTATTTAATGTATTTTACACAGCACTTTGCATTTACATCAGTGCCTGCTCTCAATCTAAAGTCCCTTACCTCACATGCATACATATACTAAGGCCACTTTAGATAGGAGCAGACTAACCTTCACACACAGGGAAAATATGCACCATGCATGCAGATAGTGTGGTGACCAGGATATAAACCTGATACCCCAGGAATGCAAAGCAGAAGTGCTAGCCACTGTGCTGTCCTGGATGTTACTTATGGTTTGGTATAGTGTAAGGGTCTTTTACCACCAAACTTTGTGCATTGCAATGCATGTGTTGTCATGTGTTTACTTGCATTGAGTTAAACAGCCCACTTAAAATGGAGAGGTTGGAATGTGCAGCACAGTGTACAGTATCTCCCAGAATTGAATACACCCCTCACATTTTTGTAAATATTTTATTCTATCTTTTCATGTGACAACACTGAAGAAATGATACTTTGCTACAATGTGACGTAGTCAGTGTACAGCTTGTATAACATGTAAATTTTCTGTCCCCTCAAAATAACTCAACACACAGCCATTAATGTCTAAATCGCTGGCAACAAAAGTGAGTACACCCCTAAGTGAAAATGTCCAAATTGGGCCCAAAGTGTCAATATTTTGTGTGGCCACCATTATTTTCCAGCACTGCCTTAACCCTCTTGGGCATGGAGTTCACCAGAGCTTCACAGGTTGCCACTGGAGTCCTCTTCCACTCTTCCATGACGACATCACGGAGCTGGTGGATGTTAGAGACCTTGTGCTACTTCACCTTCCATTTGAGGATGCCCTACAGATGCTCAATAGGGTTTAGGTCTGGAGACATGCTTGGCCAGTCCATCACCTTTACCTTCAGCTTCTCTTAGCAAGGCAGTGGTGGTCTTGGAGGTGTGTTTTGGGGTCGTTATCATGTTGGAATGCTGCCCTGCGGCCCAGTCTCCAAAGGGAGGGGATCATGCTCTGCTTCAGTATGTCACAGTATATGTTGGCATTCATGAACTGTAGTGAACTCAATGAACTGTAGCTCCCCAGTGCTGGCAACACTCATGCAGCCCCAGACCATGACACTCCCACCACCATGCTTGACTGTAGGCAAGACACACTTGTCTTTGTATTCCTCACCTGGTTCCTGAGAGTGAGAGCGATAACACCAAATGTAACACACCTGCTCCCCATCCACACCTGAGACCTTGTAACACTAACAAGTCACATGACACTGGGGAAGGAAAATTGCTAATTGGGCCCAATTTGGACACTTTCCCTTAGGGGTGGACTCACTTTTGTTGCCAGTGGTTTAGACATTAATAGGGCTGTGTGTTGAGTTATTTTGAGGGGACAGCAAATTTACACTGTTATACAAGCTGTACACTCACTACTTTACGTTGTAGCAAAGTGTCATTTCTTCAGTGTTGTCACATGAAAAGATAGAATAAAATATTTACAAAAATGTGAGGGGTGAACTCGCATCCGGGAGATGCTGTATATGAACATGGAGTAGGCTGTATTTTCACACAATACACAGGACACTGTGCATTGTACTGCTTTTCTAAGGTGTGTTGGGGTAACACTGCAGCAAAGCATAGCACGCAACTTGCACTATCATGCATTGCTGCAATGTGCACAGTGACTCGCGCTTTACCGCAGCACAGTGGTTTGAGTGGACCCTAAGTTACACAACTAGCATGAAATAGTGATTAACTTTTCACAATTGCACAATATATCAACTGTATGTAATTGCCATGACATGTTACTTGTGTAGTTTACATCATGGAGAACCATTTGTTCTATCCTTTGGCAATTGATTTTAACTCTTCACATTAATTATTGGTGATCTTACATTCATGACTGAGTTAGTAAAAGTAGACCATGTAGCTTAGATAGGTAAAACTATTCTGTGGTTGTATTTAGAGCCAAACACCATCCAGATTTGTTTAGTTTTGATAAAGTGGGAGAGAAATACAACTTCTGTCAGGTTTTTGTATTTCAGTCTATGAGTCCAATATTATTACATGTATTTCATAGCATCAACAATGTGCACAGCATTTTACATATTGAACATTCACAGCAGTTCCAGCCCTCAAGGAGGTTTCAATCTAAAGCTGGCCATTCACTGATAGAAAATCGGCTGGTTCATCAGGGACCTGTCAAATTTTCAGTGGTGTGTCACTGTCCCTGCTCATCAGGGACCGCCTAATTTTCAGTGGTGTGTCACTGTCCTTGCTCGACAGAAGATGATTGTTTGATCAACTTCTGTCAAAGGGACGTGTTGGAAATGTTTTCTTGATCAATCAATCAGTGTGTAGGTCCTGCTGTCAGAATACGTTGTTCCGGCGGACGAATTCCTCCATTCACCTTGATAAGCCCACAGGCAAAAAAAACAAAAAACAAACTAACCATTTATGACCAGCTTTAGGTCCCTACCTCAGATACATGCATACACATACTAGGGTCAGTTTGGACGAGCCAGTTAACCTACCAACATGTCTTTGGCGCGTGGGAGGAAACTGAAGTACCTTGAGGAAAACCCACGCAAGCACAGGGAAAATGTACACTAAGCCACTGTGCTGCCACATTAGGAAGACTTTCTATCCCTTCATGTCCATTTGACACTCATACAAGAAATTATGGGTTTACCCATGGCAGAAAGGCAAAAAACATTTCCAAAAGTTCTAACAGTCGAGGAAAGTGGAAAAATAGTGGAGTCCGCAATGTGTATAAAATCAATTACAGCACACTTGAAAATTGATGTCTCTGCAAGTGAAATCTGTGCATCAGTTTCCATCAGTTTTTCTGCACATATGGTGTGAACGAGCTCTTACTTCTGATCAAAACTTTTTTTTTTATTGTGATTTTCTTTTCAGTTGTTTTTCAGAGACTTTCTTGTGATTCTTTTTTTTTTTTTTTTTGATTGTATCTTTTTTTAATCTTTTTAAAATTAATTTAATCCTCTATATTATGACTGTTTTACTTGTATGTACTCATCAGCTCAGGGGTAGGGATGGATAAAATAATAAAGAATTCAGGAGCCAATTAGACAAACTATGGAGCTGGCATGATCTTTTATGGGACTATACTGTATATCCATTAGCTCCCATATCCATCAGCCAGAATGGTTATTTGCTAAAAGATTAATTAATCACAAATTCATAGTTGCTCCAGATGACTTCTACTCATGATTGAAATTAGAACCATCTCTTGGGCATTATCAGTTATTCTTAAGAACATTTATTTCTTGATTTCTAGGAGGATACGGTTCTGGTTAAAGAGCTGTGAGGTATGATTAACCACTGAAGACCTATAGGTACCAAGTGACAATATATAACTCAATAAATTGATGAGTTGCATTTGATTTGAGTCATGGCTACAACAAGAATGCCATGTTAGATTTGACATCGGAACCACATATTGGAAATTCTCTGGGACAAAACATTTTTCACCATATGCACACACGTATTGTATATCTGGTGGATTGGGGACCAAGGTTACAGAGGGTGTATGGTTCAAGAAAGGATGAATGATATCTCACCTCCAGTGAGTAAGGTGATTTCAAGTCCTATGATTTATGGTTCTAGCAAGTCAGTAAACAGGAGTGGTCTGCTCTGCCAGATGTCCCTGTTCATTCAAACAGAGAGAAGGGAGAGATGGAGAAGATGAGCGACTCTTGCAAATGCTGAAACGGGGACACTAATAATTGGATTAGGTTTCTGAGGATTGCTTTTGGTGGAACTTGCTCTGTAATAAGAACACCCTTGAAGGTATCTGGAATCTTGCTGCAGTGAAGGGGTTCATAATGCCAAACTTTAGCCTACTCTTCAATGTGCTCACCGACAGGACACAGTAACTGTTAACCCATGGTTTTATTTGCAATATGCTTAATAAAGTTTTATGTATTTTTTGCAGGTTGACTGGGGTGATGCAACAGAAAACATCTGAAGGAAATAAGTCCTTGTGGCAGGACTCTGTAAAAAATGGTAACCTATACAAGCCTTTTCGTTGCCCCCAGTGTGGAGAAAGTACTCGTTTCAAAAGCCTGTCCTCTTTGAGAGCGCATATGGACTATATGCATAGCTATGAAGAAAGATATTTTTTGGGGACAATCAGGAATTATTTGTTCCTTAAAAGAGACAGAACTTAAAAATTCCACAGATCCTCTTAGTGAAAGCCAGATGGAATCTATTGACAATGCACTAAATCAAAAGAGCACTTCACCCATATTCTGTGACCTAAAGAACGAGAGCAAAAAATCTAACAGTCCCATAGAAATACTATCAGAACGACCTTTACCTCTTGTTAAAAGCTCCTTCTCAGACAATTCAACGAGAAGCCACAATTATATTATTGGTTATCCTGTTACTAAGTTTCAGTTAGAACCACAAGAGAAGTCTGTACTAAATCAGCTTGCTGAAAATGTTGATAAGACCATAGAAAAGAAAATTGATAAACTCAATGAGGAACTTTGCCAGAAAACGTCAGAATTGCTGGAAGTCCGAGCTGCCTTTTTACAACTGTCTCAAAAGAAGCAGGAGGTTCAACGCAGAGAAAGAGCCCTTAGTCGTCAGGTGGATGTGGCTGTTGAGCTGATTGCAATTCTTCGCCAGCGACTAACAGAGTCTGAGCAGGAACTCCAAAGGAAGGAAGAGTAAGTATCTATTAGAAGGTATAAGGGTATCTACTTTTTGGGAGGTTTCCAAGCACTGTGGTTTTTCATGTTCTGTAATTTTTTGTTAAAACCATAACTCAAGGGAAAGTCATAATTTCAGCACTTTAATTATATTTGTCCTGCCTCTTTTTTGTAACATCAAGCATCAGCCATCTGCAGAGTTTAATACTCTACCCCTTTGAAGCCATGGTAATGGTAGTCACCAATTGTATGGGTGACCATAGGAAAAATGGCGTTGCTTCTAACTTTCTTCTAAGGTTTCAATCACATTTGTTTTTCCCTCAAACTGTCCCGGAACCCCCACCACAGGGTGACAATCATAACCACTGGAGCATGGTTTCAAGAAAAAACGTAATATGTCAACAATGTGTATTTGTACCCCTTTTTGATATATAAAGTAAAACCTCCAGCAAAAAATAAGATAAAAATAAAGAGCATTGTAATATAGATAAAGTAGCAAAACCATCCTTTGCTGAAAATTTTTATCTTCAGTACAGATATTTATGCAAAATAAAGTTTTTTCTGCTGCCTGAATTTAACCACTTCCTATCCAGCCTATAGCAATTTGATGGCCAGGCAAGACTTTCGTCGTTCTGGATGGACGTCATATGATGTCCTCCCAGAAGGAACCTCACGCACGGTAGTGGGGCCACGCTGCAGGAATGATCTGCCAACAGGACGCAGCCGATGATTGATCAGTGTACCAGCCCAGTTTACCCTGTGACCAATCACAGCAGATCACATGACAGTTGTAAACAATGAATGTTAGCTGTAATTGGTCACATGGTATAGACAGGGCCAATCACAGCCCATCTGTACCATGTGATCAGCTGTGGTCAATCACAGGTAATCTCAACAAAGCAAACTGAATGAATAGATTTCATTCAGTAAAATACTTGCTTATAGCAGTGAAATTCATTGCTATAAGCAGTCATAATATGTTAAAAAAATCCTGATCACTTCCCCAGAGTAGTACAATGTTACTATGGTAACATATTGCTCTGGTCACAGTGAGTTAAAGGAGAAGTACAGCCAAAGCTCTTTTGGCTGCACTTCTCCTGTGGATCACAGGAGTGCAATTCACTCTGCACTCCTGTGACCCGTTTTTCAGCTGACAGCTGATGTCACTCAGCTGGTTCAGACCGCAGACTCTGGTGCAGTGCCTGGCTCAGACCTCTCAGCAAATAAATGGGCTTGAAATCTCCCCTCACAGAGCTGCAGATGAATTGCACAGGAACTCACAGCGTGAGGGCTCTTTTACAACATTAAAGCAGGAGATAGCAAAAATCAGGGCGCTGAGGTTAATAGCAAAAACACCTTGTTTAAACCCACAACAGTAAAATCAGCATGCTTATTATACTCACTGTGGAACCTAAGGGGTTAATCCTCTGCATTGTATAAAAGACCGTTTGATCCTGTCTTCTCTGTTCCTCCCCTTTTTCAAGCGACCACCTCTTATTTCCAGATAAGACAGACTGAACTGTAGGCATTTGCACATGCTCAGTTTGGTGTGTATTGCTAGAGAGGTTTTTTTTTTTTTTGGTGCATGTGATCAGAGCCACAGCACAGGGCCAATCAGCACTGTCCAGACAGAGGTCAGGGGCTCTGCATCCTCCTAGAGCAGAAATAAATCTCCTCCTACACGCTTTAGCTAGTGCTGGCCTGGACACAGATAAGAGTCACAAGACTTCTCTAACTTCCGATGAGAAAAGGTATTTAGCAGTTTATATTTACTAAAATAATTGCACTTCCATGTTTTGTGTACTGTGGGAGACCAGATATCATGGATGCAGGGTCCTGGGTTTAGTAACACTTTAAAAGCAGCACACTTACTGTACATGTCAGAAATCATCAGTCCACCAGTCGAAATCATCAATGACACAGCAGGTCGAGCCGCTCAGCTGGTACACAGTAATGGACGGGCACCAGGATTGCAGCAACAGGGGCTCCAAAGGGCGAGCAGGTAGTGTGGATAAAAAGAGCTGGCAGCATCTCCATTCGCACTGTGAAGATGACAGCAGTCAGAATCCTTTGGTGATGTGGGGGAGGGGGGCAAGTATAATGCGTTTCAAGGGTTTCAACCCTCTTTTTCAAATGCATTTGAGGACAATGACAATGCTGCTGTCTGCAGTGTCTTGTACTCATTCCTCCAGAGTGGTGTCTAATACAGGAGGTGTGTTACTGGCCGGTCACCAGATAAAAACAAAGGGAAAAAAGCCAAAGAAAAGAAAAAACCAATGCAGCCACCACATCTAATGATTGGTAATCCTGCAATATGTTACATTTTTGGTTTTGGGCTTAACACTGCTTTAGTCCTCATGCACACTGGACGTTTTTACAGCAGCTGTTTTTGGCTTTTGATGTTTTTTCTATAGCTAGTAAATCCCCCAGCATGTTTATCCTACGTGTCCATGCACACATAGACTGTAATCAACATTTTTTGACTGGAAAAAAACCCAGGACTAGTGAGTTTCTAGAGGAGTTTTTTAGCTGTAAAAACACTCTAATGCTGGAAAATGTGGCAAAACGTGGTAAAACACCGCAAACCGGCGTTTTGGGACTTTTTTGACCACAAAAACCCGGTAAAAACGCAAACGATGGAAAACACGGCAAAAACTCCGCTAAAAGCTAATGCAAAAACGGTAAAAAAATCTGAAAAACTCACGTTTTTAACGTGACTTTACACAGCTAACGTTAGCAGCATTATCAAAATGTCCAGTCTGCATGGAGCCTTAAAAGGCTGACAGAAGTGAAAAAGCCTGAAAAAAGAAAATAGAACCCAATGCAGGTTCAGAAAGCTGCAATTGAATTAATGTTTGTTCTTGGGCTTAGATCAAATTTAATGTCTACATTTTGTGTGTTTTCAATTAGTAAAAACTGTTTGTTAATCAAATATTACAGTTTCAAGAGCAAAATTACTATTAAAAACACAACTTTTTGCTCATTGATGAATCGAGGCAAATTATCACAGGTAATAACATAATTTGGTATACCTCTTTCCATTATAATATCACATCTCATGGCTTAAAGAATCAGGTTATGGGTATAAAAGCACAAGCTGACATAGTACACCTGATTTAATTATGTATTAAAAACCTAAAATAACAGATCTGCTATTATAATCATGATTTTATAATTTACTGGAAAAGAGCACTGAATTTAGAGAAACTAGAATATATGAGAATTTCATCTGCCAAGACAAATGTTTTCCACTGTAAGTGCTATGACATACAGAAGATGAAGAATAAAATAAATACTGCAATTCACTGTGTTCTTTCTGAGATGTCTGTTATATTTCACTTACATAACATTAATATTGCAATTTCTGTGATATGAGTCACTGGAAATTTTTTAAAGCTCTTAAAGCATTCTTTGGTTAGAGTTAACACTATTTATTGGGGAACAGAGGAATCTGCAGTATACTGCATGGCAATTGTATAACATAAAATACAATTCTACAGAGGATTGACATTTTATAAATAAATCACATTTAGGATAACAACATTGCTGATGTTTTAGGAAAATATGGATGGTTGACACATTATTTTGGTCCACGACAGCACATATTTTAAAGGGTGTTTGCACTCTCTTAAAAAGTGATAGAATAATTTCATACCACTTTAGTGTGGTACAGTAGATCTTGGTGCCCTTAATTTTTGTGGCAGGCAGGATTGGTCTTTGGCAGGGAGGTGAGTATGCAAAAAAGGGGTTAGGTTAGTGTTCTGGTTTGAGTTAAGGGTTCCTCTACGTATCCATAAGCTGTAGTTCAAATGTTTATTGATGTGATCACTTCACAATTAGTGCAAGTTCAATGTTACCAGACAATGCAGGAGCTCTTCATCAGGCTAGTGATGTCAACACATTACATGCTTGACAAGAAGTCCTGTGTGGCTTCAAACTGTGCACATGAGGATTTTAATTTGGAATGCTGTATTAAGCATGCTGACAACTGCATTTCAGTACCACACAAACCTTGAACATTTCCAGGGCATGTGAAGGAGATCTCCATGATCTCTTTCACTTCTAGTGCATGTAGGGACTCCTCACTTCCCAAAGTCTAAAAGTAATTTTGGTATATAAAGATGCACACACATAATATTACAGCTATGACAACCTTTGCAACAGTTCAAAGAAACTTTATGGACATTTAGCAACACGTCTTCCCAAGTATCCTCCTCAAAAAATACCCTACCAGCTTGGACCTCACCTTACAGTGGAGCAATCATAAGTATTCCCTCAGCAGTATCTGATAACAATTTGATATGAAACACTAATGGTACAAGGTCAGTCAACTAAATTGAAAATAGTAGTGGGTACTCATACCCCTCCACTCCCACCATGACCCACTAGCTCAAATTGGACTTTAGATTATACAACTTACATAGACACATTTAGCTTACCATCCTCTTTGGTTCTCTTTTGGTCCTTGTGTGCACTCTCCTCCTCCCGTGACCACCTGGGCACCTTTGGGTCTACGAATGGGACTGATTTTATATTTGGCTGATAAATAGTTGTTTCACCATCCATTTACAAGTCTTGATTCCAGACCCTGACGATTCTTTGAAACCCGTTGAGCTTTCCCATGTGCAGTTAGTACAATATGGTTGGATGACTTGATATTTGATGCGGGAATATGGAGAACAGATATTGATTTTTTGATTGTATGTAACGATGTATCGGGAATCGCTTTTATATGTTGATGTTTTAGAATTGTTTGCATGATTATCTATGCACAAGTGTGTGAATAATTAAAGCTGCAAGCATTAAGTGAAACATCACTTGAAATATACTATATAAAAGAGTAAATGCGGTGCTATCACCAAAAATACATCTGTAAGTAATAACCAATGTCTGTAGTCTGGAAAAAAACTATCAACCAATGATAAACAATAAAACAACAGAATTCCATAAAATCATGAATATAATAGTCCCATACAACTTGTGATGCAAGAATGTGCAAGTAGAAAACACCTCCACCA